AGACAAGCACATCACAAGCCATAAACACAGACGGAGGGGAGCCGACGGCTCTTGACGAGGCCTGCGAATGACAGGCTGCAAGAAAGAAAGGCCTCAAAGGCGAGGGAAAAGCTAAAGAGAGAATAATTCAGAAAGGAGATTTATTGTACTTATTGTAAGGCTGTCACACCTGTCTTTTACGGAAAAGTTCCGCAGCTTTAATTAAAGAAGTCGATCATTTTTCAACACTTTGACACGTGGTGGGAATGCCTGCTTTAGTCGAGTGTTAATTAGAACATTTGGATGTCAGACTGTGATATCTTCTGGGCAAAAACGGAAATGTTAAAAACCCATTTGTCTTGCTCAATTGGCATTTTGGTGAAAGAAAATTATGCGGGTTCGTTGTTTGAAATCCAAACAATTGGCGGAAACTTCTGTGGCCAATTCTGATAATGTCGTGTGGGGAAAAGCTGCTTTCCGATTTTTATGAAGTAATGACATTTTTCCTGAGAGATTCAATATCTTTTTGGTTAACTTGCCTTATTATTGAAACCCAATTGTTTTGTTGAACAATTAATGGCAGGCGCATGTCGTACATACAGTGTACAGTGGATGACGGGATAGCAGTATATTTGAATCCTTATTGAGCCAAGGCCCGTAATTAACATTAGAAAAATTTCACCGCACACCACCAAACACAATTGTCACAAAAAGTATCAACACTGAAATAATGATGTTGCTGTCTCAATTTACCCCAAAAAAAAATGACACAGGGGAGAGCGACAGGTCTAGAATACGAATAACAAAAAATCTGCAAAAAATTGGCATCTATTATAATTACAGTGGGGGAAAAATGCTTTCTTTTTAACCCCAAAATGTATTGAATCAGTGTAGATATACATAGTTACCACTTTTGATTCCTCACACCATCAAAATTAAAATACTTAGGAGATAGATAGATAGATAGATAGATAGATAGATAGATAGATAGATAGATAGATAGATAGATAGACGCACACATACGTCTTTAAAAAAATCCACAAAAAAGGTGAATTTGCAATTGCCTCTAATCTGGTGGCAGGTGGCTACAAAGGTGTAGTGTACCTTCTGCCATGGAAAAGAAACACATTTAATTGTTCTGCCTGTCACTATATGTCGCTGCCATAGATAGATGAACTAAGATAGATTGGTAATCAATGGATAATAATTTTCCGACAAGTGAAATCGGATAATTTATCACAGCACCCCCTGATGATCTCGAGGGACACTTGTGTGCCACCGCATCCTGGATGGAAATCTGAGTCCAGGCATTTCTATATGAAATGAATCAGGGTTGAAAATATAATTTCCTTAATTGCGTCGAAAACATTTAGCGTAGCATGTTGTCTTTGTGGAGGGTCCAGTGTCATGGCATCGGAAATAGTCCAGTTTGGGCATAATGCGGTGCTCGAACTTTTTGTACTTCTTCCTACTAGGTTGTCTTGAGAACATGAAGCTTCAGTGTCGAGCTACCACACAACTCTCTACATTTTTTTAACTCGCGCCACCGTGAAATGCATTTAGTCGCTGGAATCCCTGCGACGATGTGCATCAGAGGGCGCCGTAATGGTCTTGACCCTGCCGAGTCGTAATGGCAACGCTGTAAGATAGCTGAAGCTGGGATCGAACGTTGCTGTAGGCTGCCATAAAAATTCATAGCTGTGGACCAAGATCAGAAAACTCAACATCATATTAAACATAATGGATCCTGCAGCAGAGCAGAGAGTGTGAAGTACTCTGAAAGAAGGGCTCAGAGCATCACTTCGCCTTCGCAAGTTCACATCACCAAGACCAATCATGCCGCTCCTAATTATTTGACTCAAGTCTTTAATCGTCCATCCCGCCGCCCCCGTGAACGTTATTGTCAGTGCAAAGGGCAACCGTGTCACATCTATCAATCCCTTTCAACTTCCTTCTCTTCATTTTAAGACCTTTATCATGAATTGATCGCCGCTACACGCAATTACGCCTGATGATTGGAAAATAAATAGGTAGCGGGGCTCAAAACATGCAGTCGATACAAGCCGCGGCGGCTTTGAGGGTTTCAAGCTGCCGAGATGACAACCTTTGCTGCGGATGTGGGAGACAACAGTCGGGCTGCGGGGCTGTAAATGCCACAGACAATATTGTTTAGGAGGGATTATGCAGTCAAGCCCTGTGGCCGAAAGCTTGTGACCCCAATATGAGCAAAGATTGGCATCGGCGTAGCGCAAAGTTCCCAAATGATTCCTGGAAGGCGCCCGCATGCATGCACGCAAGCAAGGCCCTTTAATGCCACAAATCCATGCTTAATCACATCCACAGAGATTCCAATGGCCCGCTTGCCTTTTCCATCTCATATTCTGCTCCCTCTCCACGCGATTGCTGTGCTCAGCTTTCAAAAACGCAAAATTCGAGTTCCGCTTCTTTTTTTTTTTCCATCTGACGCTTTCTTCCAAACCAAATCCTGAGAGAGGTTGATGTGAAGACCCGGCAGAGCAGGGATGTGAAGGATATAAACACATTTCTTATTGTCCATCGGGATGGGAAGGGGTTGGCGGTGGGGTGGGGGCCGACGCCGGGGTAGGGCGGTGCAGTCTGTAAAAGAGACGAGGACCTTATCACAGCCTGGCAGCTCTGTAATTCGGCGCCATGATAAAATGGCGGCACGGAAAACCTTACAAGGGGCACAATCCAAAGACGGATTAGGTTTTTCTGACATAAGCTTCCTGAAAAACTAATCAATCAGCCCATGCGGTGTTATCACAAGCGTGAGATTAAAGAGCCGCTCCTAATCCCCCGCACTGTACATTTTTATTACACTTCTTAGTGTTAGCTGCTTTTAAGTACACAATATATAAATAATATTATAAAAGCTAATTGAGCACGGGGAAGGGGAAAGAGGTTATAGCGTCCTTAGAGAGGGACTTTGTGGAGCATTTATGTTTTGTTATGAAGAATGGGATCAAGCTGTTGTCCTTGCAGAGGGCGTTTTGACTTTGAACGGAGGGCTCATTGTCTCATTCCAAACTCCGCTTTACAACCATCACAGCCGCAAAAAAAAAAAAAAAAAAACGGAACAAAACTGCATCAGAGACTTTTTGGGGAGCGAAATAAACAACGGTGTAAAATTGGAGCCGGTTCCCGGGAGAAAGAACATGTAAGCCGTGAAATCAGCACACATCAAAGTTGGTGATGAACTCCAAGCGTGTCGCCCCAGAGACTCTTGCGAGTAAACAGCTCAGCTTCGTCTCCTGAATGTGTCACGCGTCTGCGGAGACGGAACACGGATCTTCTTGGCCACGAAAAGTGATGCGTTGTTGTGACATGATATTAATAAAGAGCCGTAAGACGCAAAGGCCTAATGGAGTTCACCAATGTCAGCTTGGAGCAGCACTAAAGACGCCCTCTTGCCCGCATGCAATCGGTGCAGTAAAGGCGGGGCAGGCGGCGGCAAGACGGATGAGAGCCCGGCTTTCGTAGTATGTTGTCTGTACATTGTTCTGCTGTCATTGCGCAGGGGATAACTGCAGCAGATGTCTCGGGGAAGAATGGATTTTTCCCAGGATGGCGCTGACCCGCTTATTTGTCCCCGGGGGTAAAGCACAGATGTCGCGACCGGGGTTACGTTTTAACACGTTGACTAAGATTGTGAGGGTTTCAGTAAGGGAGGATGAGACCGAAAGTCTCCGTGTGTCACGGTGTACCGCGGGGGGGGATACACAAGCAACGCTGACATTTACAGACCCGAGTGCCACACCCAAACGCATCCTTGCAGTGTCCTTTGATTATGAACTTCAGATTGGTGCATTTCCTTCGCGCTATTTAGTAGGAATTTCCTCAGAGGTTGAGGTGTGTATGATAAGAGCCAACGTGTCTGTCCCAGGCCAGACTGCACCCACTGAGGCATGTGAAGAGAGCCACTCCAGGGAAGCAGTCTGTCTCTTTCTCTTGAGGCAAGGCTTTTCAGAGACATACCGGAGGCTGATAACTAAAACATGGGTGCAGCCAACATCTGCACACTAAAGGCAACGTTTCAAGAAGCCCTCGCCGAGCACCCATGTGAGGAACTTCTTCAAACATGTGGCATTTTCTGTCCAGATGCGATCGCGCCAACAGGCCCCGCAGACCAACACAATCCTGATAAAGCCTTATAGGTACCTACATCAGCGGTTTCCAGGAGAAATATGAGATAAAAGACCTTTGTAAAATTTGGATATTTTCTGGGAGAGCTTATTGGTATTACTGCAATCAAAAAAGACGATCTTGAGAAAATAAATCTCCAGTAAATATGAAATATTCACAGGACCTAATGGTGGTAACAGATAATCACAAGAGAGTTTAGGGTTTTTTTTCCCCCTTTGGGAAGAAGTAACAATTTGAGCTCGATTGCTTTTGTATGTTGCACCTTTTATAGTCTGTGGTTTCTGAAGTTATATTTTTTCAGGATGTTCATGACAGTTGTGAGGCGACGCCAAGAATCAAAATACTCCAGCGACTACCAGGTGCAGAAAGTAAAAACAACAATATATGATCAGACACTTAACACTACATTATAAACATTTAAAGAATGCAACATTTTATGTTTTTTAATGCACATTCTTTGTAAATGTGAAAACATAGTATAGGTATTTTGTTGAAAACTGACAATGCGTCACACTTCTTAAAAAAATGTCTACATCTTGAAATTATGGTTTTGAATATGACGTATGAAAAAGTAAACACATCTGAAACAATGTGGATTCTAAAACTACTCTAAATATGCTTGCAATTGAAATTTGAGAAATAACCATTTTAGAGTTGCTTTAAGATGTTAAATTATAAACTAAATGACTGTTAAAAGGCTTCTCATCATAGCCAACACATTTACATCATCCTAATTAGAGTTAAATGGGTGATACTGCAGATATGACGTAAATTGGTGACAAGAGAAAATATGCAAAAGTCATGCCTCAAAGGATAAAGTGCCAGATAAAACTTAAAAGCAGTGATTTGAGTCTCACCTGGTGCAGCAGGAGAGAAACGAGAAATATCTGTAGGGCTCCCATATTTGGTGACTTTTTTGGGGGTGAGGATGTGTTTATTTAAGAAGAGCAATGTTTAAATCCTCTTGAAGATGTGAAGATTTGGGCCAGACGGGCATATATCGCTCAAACATCTCTGTGGTCAACTGCAGGAGGAAAAAAAAAAGTACACGTCTACCATTTAAAATGGCAAAGCGAGCATTGAGATGAATATTAAAAAGTTGGACGTACCTTTTTGGATGTGATGGCTCACTTAATTGGCAAAATTGTATTTCGCGTCACCTGCTTCAATCCACTTTGGTCAAAGTGTCCAAAATCCTGGCTTCTCTACAAACAAGAGCTACATTGCCCGGATCATTCAATTAGCACAATGCTCCAAACTCTACAACAAACCAACACCGAGTGGAAACGTTCCTTCCCCGCTAGTTAATCCCTACAAATGCTTGAATACAAGGCGGCTGTCAAGTGAAGTATCCCACAGTGCGCGCGCAGTGCGCTCTCTCAACTCAGCACGATCCACGGCGCGTCTCCTCACTCCACACGCACGCACGCGCTGCATCCACAGTCAGTACACGACACTCACACGCTTGGCACTCCTGCGACCACCTTTTTGTTAAGGGGGGAACACGTCGCCTGAGATTTAACCCTTTGGGGGAGACACACACAACGTACTCCTGTCTTGTCTTCATGTGTACTTCATGAATAAGACAATATATTATCCCAGAATGTTTCGCCTTGATTTGATGGTAGTATGTCTGTCTAACTGCTGCTTTCAGGCAACAGTAATTAAATAAACACTTTGGTGTCATAAATGATTCAAAGGCACTCGAGTTCTCATTGAGTGTCAACTGCCTTGCTCAAGAAGTGCGACTTGGCCACCTGACAAGAGTTGTGGGGGGGCCAATAGGACTCTGACGCCACCATGTGGTCACTTGTAAATATTAAGGAATGCGTTACAGTATCACAGCTACCTGGAGTACAAATACATAGAGGTGGGCGTTCAGCCAAGACTGATAGAAAGTCCGTCAGTCCGTCACTGATAGGTGCTTGTTTTGCTGACGACTGAAGAATGCTGGGGAAAACAAAACAAATGACGGACTAAGCACTGACTGAAGTGGGTTTTCGTCCGTCAGTGTAATCGTTACGAATCAGGTCAAGTCCCGACGGATCTCGCAATCCGTTACTGACAGATGTCCTTTGTGGTGGCGATTGACAGAAAGACACCCACCTGTCTTGTATGTTGGAAGGAGGGGAAGGGGGGTCTTCGAGAGGACTGCATTGACGATATATGCGTGAGAATGAGTGCTCCCGTTTTCAAGACAATCTCTGCAGGGTCTGTGATGGCCGACTCTGATTGCTTAATATATTTGTGGAAAATAAATTTAGCTGAAAAATCCACCCGTTTTACCCAACTCAGGGGGCAGCCATTTTGCTTTGTACTGCCACTTGAGAGAGTCAGAATGGCTTGCTTGTGCACACATTTTCTGAAAAGATAGATTTAAAAAATATATATATTTAGCTGGTTGTTTATTTTACACAAAATCCCTTTCAGGTTTCATTTGTGTCACGTGGCTATATTTCCACAAAATCAAACAAAATAGATGTCAGCTTGTGTTCAGTTTCTATTATTAGTAAAAGATAGATTTAGCTTTGAAAATGAACAGACGTTATTCATATACAGTATTTGATGAAGTATGTTACATTACAGATTTATTACAGCACTTTATTTCACAAAAGACAAAACGAGAGACATTGTAATGTTATCTATGCCCCCCATTTGGTGAGCCAGGTGATAACATGAGAGTTCACCTCCTCTAATACAGACTCCTCTGACCTTCCCAACACTTTCAGGCCATGACTTCCTCCACTCAGCCAGAAAACCTCCACTTGAGCGCTCATCTTCTTTAATGTTGCGTCAAAAAGGACCTTGACAAAGAAAAAAAAAAAGAGAGAAGCAATCGTTATTATGATAAATGTCAACGATACACCGAAAAGACAAATTTAGTCTAGGCACCCTATCACACATGTTGTCCTCTGTGCCTGAAACAAAGAGGACAGCCATGTTTTCCGGTAGCCTCCGGAGATCTTCACTGCGCTGTTGATGGGCATGAGTCTGTCCTGGGGGGTGTAGCGGAAAGGACAAACAGACGACACCCTGCACGGCACCTTCCGATTCATCACTTAGTTGCTTGGCCAAGGCGGCGGCAGCACGGCAACCCATTGACCTGCCTGGAGACAAACATTTTTCCTTCGGCATATGTGGCACATGGATTTATGACATTAAACCTCCATTCACTTACAGTATATTGCTGCTTACCTCCAAAGAACATGTTCTTTATGGTCCAGTTCGGCAATGATTTCAAGTAGTGCTGGTTGAAAAACAAATACAGGAGGACATTACAAATCTATACATGCCTTGTGATTTCTGAGCTGAAATACATGAACATACCCACACCGCACGATAAGCCTTCACTCTATACGCCAAGTTGAGACCTTTGCATGTGAATCGGAGACACAGGAAGCCCTTTGAGGCCAAAGAGTGTGCCAGAGAAACAAGATGACTAAAGTTCATGTCTCCACCAGCTCCATGGGTCAGTATGATAGCTGTGGTAACTTTGTGCCCTGAGGAGGTAGGAACGCACAATGTAGCCTCCAAACATTTGGTCCCAAATAGCACCTGCACACGTTCCTGAAAAACGCAAATGATTGATCAGACAACAGTAGTACAGCAAGTATGTAAAGCAGTGGAAAAATAACAATAATTATGATTATTTTAGTTGTGTTGAGTGTTTGTATAATGTGTCTCACATGCACAGAGACCTAACAGTGGCTGACAAATCATCACCAAACTTTTATGGATTGGATTGGAATAGAACGTTCAGAGGCTAAGTGCTATAATTTACAAACAAAATGAAGCACCGAACCTGTTAGTACGAACCGTTGCTTGTTAATTATTCCATACAGATCTTCAACGTTGAATTTTGGTGGCACACACAATTTTTCACTTACATAAAAACAATGTTTTGCTTTCTCTTTTCTTTTGTTTGCTTCCACCGTTGATATTAAAATTTATTGTTAGCATTTCCTATTATTCAATAAGATATCTTTTCCCATCCATCATGCAGGTTTGTATTTTTAGGCCTCTATAGTTCTTGCAATGGGTCAAGAAACACAGCTGCTTAAAAATTAATCACTACTGCAACCCCCCCCCCCCCCCAAAAAAAAACGCAGCTACAATATACTGTGGTAACAAAACATGCTACGGTCGAGCTTCTACTACTGTTTTAAAATTTGATCTGATGCACAGTTGTACCATGCTCCCTCGCACAGGTCAGCAGTCACTACATACTAAAGGAACGACAGTAGCGAAGGTATTTCATCCTTGTCGTTGGGGGTTTTCACATTAAAAAAATATAGTTAAGCTAGAAAAACTCGGAGTACCCTCAATACAGTATATAAGTCTCAAATTTGAAGGAGGTATTGTGTCTGTCGCTCCTTTATTAGGATCGTACTTTCTTGAGTCAGTTCGGTAAATACAGTATGACGTTGGCTGGCTGACTCATTTTTTTTTTGTTTTTACCTCGCAAAACTTGTCCATCACCGGCAGGAAAATTCACCAACTTCCGGTTTTCAATGCGGAAGTGCGTTCTACACAATATCCAGCAGAGGGCGACATCTGCATTTGCCAAAAGTGAGCGAGCGGGCGAAAGTCAATGAATAAGAACACCGTTGATATGCTCAGATTTGTTTCATATGCAGGGCCCACAATGGTCACCAACAACAAAAACGAGAGCTATCCAATGGCAGCACAGTAGACGAGTGGTTTACACATCAGTGGCACAGTTCCACTGTGTTCCATGTAGAGTAAAATAACCCAGAGTAATGTCCCATTGCGGTAATTTCAGTAAAAGCAAAATATTTATTTAAAAATGAATTTAATAATGAAGTCATGGTATTTACAGTATTGAAATTATGGTACAAATTAAACATTTAATACATTCAATATTTGGCAATACAGTTAAAAAAAATCTGTCAGTCTTCTTGAAAGTCCATCAAAGTTCATCCTTCACCTGTAAAACAAAAGAAAAAACATTGTACAAGAGTGGTCACTGGTGAATAAAAATATATGTCTTAATATTCTTACAGCCTTTATAAATCATAAAGGGTGCTTTAAGATGAGCACAAGGATGACATCACATTGTCCTTACCGGTGTCCGGAGGCAGGAACATGGAAAGAGTTCATCACCGGGATGTTCTACCAGCTCCATGCCCTCACGTATCTTTGGTTCAGTCACCTGGCGTTTAGCATATTCCTACAACAGAGCAATCTCGATTAAACACAGATATAGAAAGATATACGTAAGTGGCATAGTATAGCTTGTTTAAAATAAATAAATGAAAATCTTGGAATTACCAAAATACAACATGCATTTTTGCAAAGTATTTGTTTTTGTGAGAAGGGAATGGTGATTTTTCTTTTTTTTTGTTAATTCCCTCATATTGTAAATCATTTGAACTTCATACATTCAGTTGTTCAATCAAGTCGGAATTTGACCTTGAATTTTAAGGGAAACATTGTGTATTCCTTAAAAAAAACAGCCCAAAAAAAAAAAAACTGGCGGGACATGAAGCAGCTTGATCTGATCTGATGTCAGTACTTTTGGGGGTTTAGTGTAGGTGGCGATATGCAAAAGTGCAAAATGAAGTGGATAGTATTGTATTGCTGAAAGCGGTATTCATATTCACATCATTCATATTCAAGTATGGCTCACAAGTTATTTTTGAATTTGTACTACTTCTAGTTCCCTGCAACAATTCTCTTTGTGATTAAATAACAATTAACTGAGGAAAACTACTTTCAAATCTGAGCAGATAGAAATTTAAACAGCCTCTGAAATAAGTTTGTAAAAATTTTGTTGAGACTATATATTTCTGTTGGTCTCATTAAAAAAAATAAATAAATTACCGTGAAAAGTTTGTAGTAATAACAAAATATTTTGTCTCCCATAAGTCGGTTGCGTGCAAACTGTTGACCTGCAAGAGAAATTTTCTTGGCCTGAAAGACAGTAATCACAAGAGAATAAATAATTGCATGAACCATGGAAGCATACTTTTGAAAGCATGAATATGATCAAGCAAATGAATAATAAAATCAACCTCTCTATCGTGGTCTCGAGCCCACTGGATCTTTTCCAGCAGATCTCCGAGGTCAGCCCTGACCGGGATGTAGTGTTCCCACGGTATGAGCTCACTGTAGAAATGCTCGTAGTAGCCGGAATCCTGCTTGAACACCACGCTGTCTCCGGCCAGAAGGTAAGGCAATCGATATGCGGCCACAGTGCCATCAATGTTTATTTGGTACTTGTACTGAAGCCAAAACAAACCGACAAAACACCTGAACTGACTGTGTTCACAGTACTTCCAGCAATTACAGTGTTTGATTTAAATCTGATATTTCCTTACTTAAGAGCAAACCTTACTGTGCAGACGTACAATGAAATTCCAATTTAACGTCAGGTAAATAGTAGAAATAAACCAATCACCTTGAAGAAGTCAAAGAAGGAGACGTGCTTGACAAGAGGGCCGTATAAGCTCTCGTCGTGCTTGAAGAAGAAGAAGTTTGTGAAGGCAGCATCTATCATGTGGGGGTGGGCCCTGGACAGCTTGACCAGCTCCAGACGCTCTTGACGACTATCCCGCCCTCTCCAGAAGGCTGTGGCGTTCTTCTTGGCCCACGGTGGTCCTGTATTTGCCTGCACCGACATTATGTCCAGGCTCACTCTGTTCATTAGATATGAAAATATGCCATGTGTCAAATTTCAGTCTTCGCAAACACAACATGTGAGAAAAAGGTTCACATCAACATGTTCAGTGGATATCAAAAGTGTACACATAACTGATCAAGGTTTTTGCGGGGAAAAAAAATACACCAAAAAATGTCAAACCTTTTTACATCATTGATTTAAACTATAATCTGTACGACTCAATTCAATTTAAAAACATGTTTGTGAGAGGGGAAGTAAAAATGAAAAACTGAAATAAAGTGGTTGCACAAGTGTGCATACCTGCTTACTACTGTGGATGTGGCTGTGTTCAGAATCAAACAAGAACACATTTGTAAATGGGTCAGCACACACCACACATTTGTTCCCAAATGATTTATGTTGCCCATATATTTTTATATCACAAAAAAAAATTGGAATTTGAACAGCGGAGTGTAGGCATTTCATGTCTGCTGTATCCATTTGAAAAATATGCAGCAAGACATGGAACTTCAAACCTAATTCCAACAACTCATTTGATTGAATTGCTTGAGTGCTTACCTTCCCATAGTCTCAAGAACAGACTCAGTGAGGTCATATGTGGGCATGACAATATCTCTGGTGTTGTTTGAGCCACACCAGGAGAAGATAGGATGAATGTTCTGAGAGGGTTTCCTTTTCTCGAGCGGCCAGTCACCCAGGTTAACAAAAAACTCCAAGTCAGGTAATTTTACCTGGACACACAACAATGTGTGCGTGTTAAATGTGAATGCTTGTATGTGTGTGTGTGCTGGATTTATACTGCATGTTCAAGTGAAAAGATTTTGATTGTTGTGCTGAGAAGAGGCATAAATGGGATATGCGTTATGGCAGCGTAAATAGAGAAAAATCCATGAATTTGGTCTCTTCAGATTGAGATCTGGCCTTGACCAAATGTGGGTAAAAAATGATGCGTAGTGCATTATCTATCATTGTGTAAAAGGGTTGTTTCATGTCTTCTGTGAATGTAAAAATTGGCATTGGATGTATGCTACTTGAAATGTACCTGAAAAAGACTACCCCCCCCGCCCAGCATTGAACCAAAACTGGGCACTTGGATCTGCGGTTTAAATCCAGCCTTCGCCAAATGCAACTTGCCTTTCTGGTAAGTGACAGGAGGATGGCATCCACAAAGATTCGGAAACCGACATGCTCACCAAGTGTTTGAACGTAGACCTAATAATGAAAAAAAAATGTGAACAATTCAGCAAAATCTTTGGACTACTTTCACTGAGCTTTAGTTTACTCCTCCACACAATAAAAAAACCCATGAAGAGTCAAACATTGTATACTGTAACCATGACCATATCTGTCCGACAACATAAAATATTAATTCTAAGCTGCAAAAAGAGGATAAATTACTGGATGTACTAGGGACCAACTATTTCTAGTACAATAACCTACTTGAATGCTCCACTGGTTTTTTTCAAAAAACTGCCCTCTTTCACACTGTGTTGTCAAAGCATTCCAAGCGCGCTTGCGCACACACACACACACACACACACACACACACACACACACACACACACACACACACACACACACACACACACACACACACACACACACACACACACACACACCACTTTATTATTATGAGAAGAGTACTATGGGAATAAAAAAAGGGCTGTTGAAGCAGAAATCTGCTCGGCGATCAATTGGCTTTATTGATTAATTGAGGTTTGTTTGTCAAAACCACTTTTAAAAAATGTATGTTTTTCATACAAGTAAAAGTGTACATAGACTTTTGAGAAAAAAAATCAGAAGCTTTTATATTAAGGCCCAGTCTTGCAAAATAGTATATACCTTGTTATCTTTGATGGTGTAGTGACAGAGGCTTTGTCGCTGCCCAAAGCGTTGCGGAATCTCCTGAGCGTTGCGATCTGGGTCGACACTGGCGAATAGGGACATGTCCTGCTCTATCTGGGGAAAGGAGTGAGGACAGTGCATATGGGAAAACCACACAGAGCCATCGAGCTGCGGACAGTCACAGCCCTCGTGGTACACTGGTCCTGATGAGACAAGTGGAAAAAACATCAACATGGTCAATATTTGTATACTGAATAAAATATTGTTATAATTATATCCTAGTTATACATTGTATGTTGTGACAAAGGAACAGATTAAAAACTCAATTCTAAAATATCCCGGAACCAATTCAACTTTACAGCTTCCAATGTGCTGTTAGTTCACAATCCACCTCTGAGAATGTATGGAGACTCGGCCACATGTTGGTCCATGAGCAGAACATGGACGTGAAGGTCTGTGTAGCTTGCGTACATTCTGTAGCGAACCAGGAAAGACCCATCTTGACGATCCAGAACCTGAATCCAGATCCTGGTGAAATGCTCCAACGGAGACACGATCTTTACCTCAAAGGTTTTCTCCCCTGGCGAAGTTGTTAGACTGCGGGAAAGGGCAGAATATATGTCGTTTCGCACAGGTGCTATGTACATATGTTAGCCTTGCTAAATACTTTGCAGGAGTAAAGTGACTTTAATGGTGACCACACTGACCTTTGCCCCAACAATGACAGCGAAAGACAGTAACTGAGCTAAAGGAATTATTTCTCTTTCTCGGAAAGTGAACAACAAACAATACAGATATTAACAAATTAAATTCAACAGTGCCCAGTGTCATTAAACATGAATGATATCATCTGGTGTCTGGTGGAGGAGGACCCATTATGGAGACAAGCGATTATTTCTCACTTTACTTTGCGATGCTTCCATATGAGTACACTAAAACAATGAATTTACTGTTCGATTAATGCCTTTGTGACATTAACAGTCAAAGGTGGGCATTGTTATGTTTGTAATTGCAGCACTTTGGCTCTCATAAGATTGCGCAAGGGTGCATGTGCTAAGAATAATACCTCAGAGAATCGCAATGTGTTTATGGTAATAGGTTCACAACATGACGTTTTGAAAATGATAAACTGTCATGTAAGACTTATATGTGAACCGGTACTCGTGTTGCTTCTTGATAGGCAACGTGTGCGCGTGAGAGACAGCAGAATAAATGGAACGTGATGCCTTCCTGGGCCCGTGAGGTCTTTGGGATGACAGGTGTCACATTTTGCACCTGGGGGGGCAACTAGTTTCTAATCTGTCTACTCCCTCCTCGTTGAATGGCTCACAAGTCAACAGCCGTGTTACTGTTCACGTTTTAACAAGATTTATAGCTTGACTCTTTTGTTTGCTGTCACGCAATATCTACGAGTGGCTTGAAATGCGGCACCTCTGTTCCCCTGGAATAACTTTCAAGAAGGACATATAAAGGTAATTAAGGAGGTGGGAATAAGAAGCACTGGAATGTGAGAACTTGGAGTGTATATTTTAACCGAAGTGTTGCAATTGTGCAAATCGTTCAATACTTTACGAGGTAATTCAAGCGTGATTGAAGTTGGAAGAGTCGCACACCTTTACGAATCATGCAATGGTACAACATTGATGTGACAGTACTGTATCCCATGTATGTTACAGTGACTGTATGCTGTCTGTAAAACACAACAGATATTTATTTCCGTTATAACGCTTACCATCACAGTTTACTGTGTTGTACTGTACTTACTTTGTTCCTGAGCGGTCCACTGCCTGGATGAAGAAAAAACGAGCTGGCAGGACAATGTTTGGATCTAGTCCGGGTCCCCAGACAAGAGTCTTTGCGGCGTTCGGAGCCGCCGAGTCGACCCCAGGAGCCGCCGAGTCGGCCCCAGGAGCCGCCGACTCGGCCACAACCCCCGAGAGTTCTGGTCGGAACATAGCCAAACCCAAAATAGACCACAAAAATAGTCGGAGCAACATGATAGTACAATGTCCACCGTCCGCCATTGTTGCTTGTTTATATTCGTCTTCCAGCTGACTTACGTTCCTCTAACTTGCCATTGTTGCATTAAAATCTCCGGTTACTGATTTATGGTTTAAATACAGGGGTGCCGTTGCAGTGTCTGTTAGTTCCACTACCATTTGAAGTCCACCACTAGACTGTTGAATGTTTAGACGTGTCCTCTAATATAGACGATTATTTGTTGATAGTTGTTTTAGAGTGTTAGCTTCAACGTTAGCCGCTCCCTGTACGCTTCATCGCGAAGCTACAAATTATGTGAATGAGTCGGAGAAGGCAGAGGAGGAGCGAGCTTTCCGATTGGTCAGTACTGCGTCCACTGAGACGTTTGATTGCGCCTTAATCCGGAAGTGATGAAATGACGTATGCGCCAGCTGTATGCAGATGCTATGTGGAATACTGTAGTTGCTATTTAGTCATCCGTATAACGGATCGATCTTTTATCACTGGAGTTTGTGCGCTGTTAAGCAACGAATACTATTTTATTATGTTTGTAACCAATTGCGGCGAAGACACTTGATTGCCAGAAAAGTAATTGACAAGAGCGCATCTGAATTGAAAAAGTGTTGGTTGGTGTTGCCAGCGTGATATCTCCCAAAACGTGTAGAATTTTTTCGGAAAAAAAAAAGTTTGGTTGGGTCGTCTCACCACAAGAAAGAATGGTTACCCTGCTAGTAGTCAATTGCCCCATCAATTTCAATCTATATCAATGTCAAAAACAGCACATCCGTCAAAAAGAGCACACAATTTATCAGAGCTACAAAAAAGTAAAACAAATAGGTAGTCCTTAATTGATAATGTTAACTATGTCTGAATTTCTACCACGTTTATTTTTGAATCAACTCTCCTGTTAAAGTGTAAATTATGGGGGACTGCATTATCTTTTTTTTTATTTTTTAATGATTGACACATCACACGTTAAAATTAAAGCAATTCTAGGCTAAAATCATCCTTCAAGCTATTTTCTCAGTCTTCTTAATCACGCTGCTAGACGTCCATACTCTGCCTCGGTCAAATAACACGGGTAGGTTGGTTTACTAATGTTGCAAAAGAGAAACCTTGGGCTTTCAAAAGATGCTTGGCATGAAATTACAAATATTGCACGAATGATCAATACAGCTCTCAATGATGTACATCAATCCATGTTTATTATCAGTTTGCTTCTGCATCAACATATGTTCAGCTCTTTTAGTCAAGTAATCTCTATTACACTAGTATAATATTAAGAAGAAAAAGTGGTAGAATCCATTTAAAGAAGACAAACTTTGCTGCCATAATCCAGAAAACTTGAGAATGTTTTTTTTCCCCCAAGGGTATTTACTGTGTGAAGAACAACAACGTTTCAGTGGTTTAGACAGAAACGGAGTACCAGCAGTGACAGGTACAACATATATAGAGAAAAATACCCCATCTGTATCACATTTTTGCTTGTCTCACCCAACATTGAAAAGTACAGTTAATATATAAAAACAAAGAAAACAAAAACATTTAAATAAAACACCCTGTCAACTGAGGTCACATTTTTTTTTCTTTATACCTTTTTTTATTCCATTCAGACTGTGTCGAAAATAAACTTAATTGAATGAGAACCATTTTTGACAAGTTCAAGATGTCTCATTGAGTCAAAATAAATGTCAGTCAGAAAATGTGCGTGTCTCATCTATTGAAGTGTATGGGTGAAAATAATGAGTCTCGGTAGCCTGACAAGCAGGTCTAAATGTCTAATAATGCAAGGAGACATCACTGCGGTTATGTTTCACTGTACTTTGCATGTGTATGTTGGTGTACCTCGATGCAGGTGCGCTATCAACATAAACAAGGCGCAGTGATTAATTTGTGTCGATGCTTGTGTGCATAAAGGCCTGATGTGTAAGAGATTTTTTTTTCAGATCATTTTAAAATACAAAGACACAGGTACAAAAAAAAAATCCTCTTCACTCGATGTCGTTGGCCTCTGTCGCGTAGCACTGACATGTACAACACAATCACAATATGATACACCACCATGTATCATGAAACAATTGCTGTTTTTAACATACAAGGGCCTTCCATTTGAGAGGCCGTCACCATCAAATATAGGACTTGCGACAAGAGGATACCATAATCATCAAGAACAATATTGAATGAAATAAAGTAACACAGTTGCCTTTAGTTGAAATTGCTGCTGTTTTACACATGAACATCTTCACTGACTTACATCTGAATAGTACTGGAAAAATACTGCTTTTTTTTTTTTCTGAACCATTTACTGATAAACGACTCACAAGGAAGTTGGTTGAACGGATGGTGAAGCCAACTCCTCTTTGCGCTGCCATCACACAGACAGCAACAATCACTGTTATGAACACGCAGGTCCATTAGAATCCTGAAAATACACAAGTCACAACTTGTAACAACTGGATTGGAGAGATATGAGAGGGTGGCAGTTCTTTTTAATTGCTTTGGCAGAGACTGAGCGTATTGTATTGTAATGTTTATCAGTATTTTGTTTTTAACATGTGGCACTCATTCTTCCACATACACACACCATAATTTTCCACTAAACCCGCGCATCTCGCAAAGAATGACCCACACAAAGTAAAATCATAAGCGTTATTTGGAAAACAACATGGTTTTTGACCTCATTAAATGCCCCTTGAACATCTCTCAATGTCTCGTCTGAGTGTAACCGGAGGCATATGACCACCATTACTCACTTAGCTCTTTGTAACTTCACACGAATTGCACTCGTCTTCCTTATGGCACGTGAGTATATAAGTTTATATCTACATACGGTGTGTTCCCCAAGCCTTTGCATACATGTCAAATTATTCCTTTCTGAATCCTGAATTCTGAATGGTAGTTGGTGAGGGGAATATAGCCCCAACATTTCTTGTATTGGAAAGTCGCAGCAGCCCAAACGTAAACTTGATTAAACGGTGCAGTTCATAGCAAAATCCGTCTATGGTTGCACTATGATGCAGCCAAGAGTACCTGGTATCAACAAAGTTTTACTATTATATTTTAGTATGTGGAGAGCTAACTATGTGCATTTGAAGTGTGTCAAGAAATATTCGCAGAAAAAACGTCAAAAGGAAAACGAGGAAAGGGAAAAAGAACACAAGTTTTGGCTTATTAGCGATGCAGGTATACATTTCTGTTTTTTTATATATAGATTTTTTTCGTCAATATTTCAAAAAATAGAACGTTTTTCATAGTTTCCGTAGTTGGCTATATTAATAAATTAAAAAAAATAATAATTGAATCTCCTGTCAAAGTAGCATTAAAGTGAGCATGCTGCTTTTTAATATGGCAGTTTGATATTTTGATAGTCATTCCTTTTTTGTTTCATGCATGTCATGTTGATTTCTTAATTGTTGAGTATCTACACAGTGACGTCCAAAAATAGCCAGGACACACACACACACACACACACACACACACACACACACACACACACACACACACACACACACACACACACACACACACACACACACACACACACATTAGGTACACGCGCACACATCCGGTCCTCTAAATGCTACCATTCTTTTTCTCCCCATCTTTTTCAGCAAATGATCAAATGAGGATCTCTCCTGTCCTCTTACTGTGTGACGATGTTGCACACTTGGCTCAGAAGCCATAAAGAGAAAGTCTTTCAGCCTGTCTTTTAATTGCTCTCATCCGCTGAGTTAAAATTCCTGCCCTTGGCACAGCGCCCTCAGAAATCCATCAGTTGGCCTCACTTGGCTCCCGTTAACTAGAACTGGTACCACTTCTTGTCCTTGCACTTTAACATGAGCTGTAATGAAATGTCACAACATGTCACCGTTGAGAACTTTTTAAAGTACGGTAAATAATTTCACTGTTCTAAAGGTCTTGGCTTTACCTCATGAGCATGCTTGGAGAAACTTTCTGCACTGGTCATCATGAGGGCAGTTCTTTCTTCCAGCTCACCGAGTCTCTGGCCTCTTTCATCCAGAGCAATGCGGGCCCTGGCGAGCTCACCCACTGCCCCACTCGCTGCCACCTTCATGCCCTCCACCCCTCCCTGACCAGGGATGTGTTGGGCCAAACTCCGAGATGCCTTACCTGCGGCTGCCTCACCAACTGTGGGCCAGATAAGATAAATAAAATTAATTAGGTATACAGTACCATCATTTTCTGAGCTGAGATATTTCACAAGACAAATACAAGAGAAAAGACCAGAAATACACACAGAGCTCCTCCCTGTCGAATGTGTGAGCATTTCCCCCGAAGAAGCCCTTCAGGAAGCCTCTATTCTGGGCTTCTGGTGTTTCTGTTGGTGTAAACAGCTCTCCGAGCATTTCCTACAAGTGATAACAATGTTGTAAGAGACACTACAGCAAGGTGGTAAAAATATACCTATGACCAGGCATCACATCTGCGTCATGTGTTGTCATTAAAACAAAAGACTTTACCTTTCACCTCCAAAAAAAAGTGACAATGAGTACACTTTTATCTCTTTATGATTGAACCCTATTCAATACTGTATATGCTGCATCTACATCTTACATCAATGTCTTTGAAAATATATATTATTAAAAATGTTACTCTTATTTAGTGTATGCAAAATGCATACATTTTCCCATAACCTTTGCAAATTACAAAACACGTAGATGACAATCATCCTACCTTGTTAACATTTCCTACACAGATTCTGGTCGATTCAATTTTTTTTGCCTTGAGATGGCAGTGTAGCACCATCACCTCCTTAACATAGTTTTTACCAGCTGTTTTCACTGCAGTACAAACTAGGCTGAAAAGCTGTACATCAAAAATAATAAAACCATGCATTGTATACAAGAAAATAAATAGGTCTTGTAAATTTGGCATACGACAGAAAAGAGTTTTGCTAACGACTCTGCCAAATTGTGAATGATGAAGAAAAAAAAAAATCAAGTATAGAAAATGAGGCTTCAAAATCATGAAAAATTTAATATGTCTGCTAAATGCGCTGAAACCACATCCCACTCAGCTGTCAACTGCCAATCAAATACCACTACAGCAACCTGAAAAATTGGATACTACTTCGTCATCTTTCTTTTGCCGACACATAACTACACATTTGAGCCAGAAAATATATCCACTGAAAGCCTCAGGTGGATTGGAATGTATCCCACCCAACGAGGTCCTCTATTTCAGCTAGGCCAGCGCAAAACCCTAGTCCACCACTAGCTTTCAAGTGAGAATTTTTTTTTATCATTTCTCGTTCAAGCTATCTGTTGTGCCAGACAACCGCTCACGTGAACGAAAGTGCTTATATATTGGGTGAGGGGTGACTCATGGTGGGACCGAGGTGCGTCACTTGCCCCTGTTTTAGCCACGCCCATCTCCACTTCATAATTCTCACAATTGCTGAAGACGTGCTAAGCTTCTTTAAAGATGTACAATGTATTTTGAAACAAATGTCTGGATTCCTTTTCAGGGCTTTTTAAAATCAACTGGCCTCAACAATGACAAATGTTGGACTAGACTATACTCATCATACAGTATGAGATGCAAAAGCGTTTGGCCATCACAAAAGCAGCTATATGGACCTATGAGAATCCATCCTCTCTCTTTCTCTCTCTTTGTGCCGACAAGCAGCCTGAAAAGATTAGAAAATCTCTGAGCCAAGCCACTCTCACAACAAAGCTCAAGTATCTGTTTGCGTCGAGCCAGTAGCAGGCAGCCAATCATAGAAATATGACATCACTCTGCCTGACGGAGGCTTTACTGTCCGCCTCAATGCCTTTTTCAGACACCCTCAGGCTCACCGCTGGTCCAGTACGAAGCAATATCCCCAGAAGCTTGTTCTCTTTTGACCTGTATCATCTATCCTAAAACCAAAAGGCCATAGGTCATTCTGTTGTGTTGACATCATAAACTCACTGGCCACAATGGAAAGACCAGTAAAATATATCATAGTGTAAAGGGCTGTCAGATGTGTGTACGCTACAATGTGACTTTATCTTTCTGTAGACTCTGTTAGGCTCGTCAGAAAAAAAAAAAAAACAAAAAAAAACAGAGCAGTCAATTTGTACATCAGCATACATGAGGATGCCATTGAAGAAATTAAAACTATTGTGATATGCATATGCATCCACTGACCTGCAGATTGTCATACATTTCCTGACTGTATGTAATTCTCTGGATCTCTGTCGGGGAACTGAGATAAAGTGCCTGTCCCCCGTTGGTGAAGCAAAAGGTTCTCGCAATGCGCATGTCCGTCAGAGGCAGGTAATTAACATCCATCAGGGGTCTTAGACTGGGCAAACTGTAGGCAACAAAAACAATAGAAGGCAATTAGTAAGCAAGTAAATGGCTCCTGTCACTGTGGGGCTGAACAACAACGAATAAACAGCACATTGAAAATAATGTTGCACTTCTTTTCAAGTTATGTAAATCTATTCTGTTTGCTGGGAGTGCTTCCAAGAGCAGAACGTCTGAATGCATTTTCAGCATTGCTTTTTAACTATTGCAATAGTGCTGGGTCATGCAGTCACAGCCAGTGAGGGATCAATTCATGTTGAGTTCCTATCGTGTGAATGTAAATGAATGTCTTTTTCGAAGCGCCCTGTAATTGACTGGTCGCCGGTAAGTAGTTGTCTCACATGCAGGATTGTCTCCATCTTTTCTGGGATGTCTGAACAGGATAAGAGGTCTGGAAATCAGAGGACTGGATAATAGTATTTTTCCAATTACGCACAGACTTTATCATTGCAATGGATTCAAATTTGTTGAAAAGATGATATTTATGGCAGCACGGCAGCAAGTGTGAAAAGCAGTTTGGCTATGTGTGACATGCGATTGACTGATGACTAGTCCCGGGTGCACCACACATTTTGCACAAAGGAGCATAGTCCCCTGTGTGTTTAAGTCACAGCCGAGTGACAGCGTGGCTGCTGACTCTTGCTGGTGGCTTGGAGTTTGTCTGAAAGCGCCGCTCAAAATAACTGCAGTCATTGTAATGGACGCAATATTTAGCTTTTGACATAAGGAACCAAATTCAGGTCAAGAAAGTAAAAACCCTGCCAGTTTGGCTTTTGCTTCTACTCAACCGATATGTAAACGAGCTCCCTGGAAACTTGTTTTAGAATCATTTGTTTATATTTCATCTATGCCGATCATGAAATCAATTGAAGTCAAGCACCTGCACATGTACTAGCTAACTCCTTCGCTCAACCCAGTCAGCAAAATTGTTCTGGCCCAGCTCTGGGCCACATACACCACTTGCACTTGGCCCTTAAGTCATTAAATTGCTTTTATTGCATTTATTAAATACGAAATACAAATAGGCATGCGCCTTTAAAGTAACCTGTTTGATGAGCCCCACACACGTCACTGGAAACGATCAATATGACTTGCAGATCCACTGCGCAAGTTCATTTCATGTTTAAAGTGGGACGTGTTTTCCAACTGGATCTCTACGGAACACCGCTCAAGGACTTCTCACTCCAGAAATTCGGGCCACCCTCAAACTTCACCAAATCACATCTCTTTGGCGGTTGCGCACAAATCTCCACATTACGCATGCTGGGTGTGTCAGAAACTTCGACGAGAGAATTTCCGCACTTTGAAAGCGCGCGAGAAAAGCACGTGAATAAATGACTTAAAAGCAAATGGGATAGGGAAAGGATCCTATTGAGGTAAAGAAAAGGAATCGATGGCTAGTGTTACGTTTGCCTCAGGCAAGCGCAAAAAACATGATAACATTTTGATTGCCCTTTGTTTGCTAGTTACATTTGTTAATTAATATGAATACACAGAAACAACTGATTTATGAAGGGATCGAACACAGGCATAGAAAAATATATGAGGGGAAAATATGGATATAGAGTGCAGAGAAAAGGACAAGGGCAAACAGTTGTTTGTAAATATACCTCTGGCATGTTTTGGAGGTCATACCTGAGCGTCATGACATGTCCATTGGCACAGAAGCAGGCGAGGCACACACTGTTACACACTGACACCACGTCAGCCCGCAGAACGAAGGACGACTCTGTGATGTTGTGGACGAAGAGGCAAGACTGTGAGGGCATCAAGAACACTTTGGCCTGCCTCTCGGAGCACACGATAGCCAGATGTCCCTCTCCGCAGGTGTCCTGGGAGGATGAGGGTGAGTAGTGCACCAGCTTGCGCTTTCTTGGTCGGTCGGGGTCTTCTGGTGCATTGAGATCACGCCAAACCTCGTAGGGGTTTGGAACGAGTGCACCCATGCAGTCCAAGAAGCCAAAGCGCAACACAGAACCCTTTAGCATCAGAACTGCCCCTAAGAGTGTTTAGCAGAGTCATCAGAGGGAAGGCAAAAAGCATCTTTATTGTAAGTACTGCATGTCTTTTTACTGTAAAGCCTTTGAGATGATTATTTATTTATTTTGATAACAATATGACGACTGATTTCGAACGCCAATACGGTGAGCGCACGATTTGCCTGGGGATCCTGCGCGAGTGGGATCATTGCGTTGGTGTGTTTTACCGTTCGACCAGCATTCAATACACAGCTGCAAAGTGCATTGGTGACTGTACTACAGTGAGTTTATTGTAAGAAAAAAAAAACTTGATACACTGTCTTACATCCAAGACTACAAATGCCTTCTTGACCATGACAGTCAGCAAACAATAACATCTGCCTCCATGGTGGGAGACCAAATGTTGACAGTGCTGCCATGAAATCAGCCCAAACAACACTGCCAAGAAAATGGAACACGCTCCCAAGCAGTAAAGTTTCGTTTGGTTGAGAGTGATAATTTTTTTGATTGTGTTTTCAACATTTGTTTCGTCTCCGTGTAGATAGTGAGGGAGGGGTTTGTACTAAATATGCATTTCTTGTGTGACAGCATTTCTTAATGAACCAAAATATTGTGACTCATTGCTAGTTTTGTTTTTAAATCAACCCCCGAGGCCAAAGTGAAGGGAAAAAGAATTGGTATGATTGTTAAGATAAAAATAGACTCTGATTATAGTAGCGGAGTAGCCTGGAGTACGATGACATTTCAGTTTGTGTGACATTATCAAGTAACCACAAAACAAGCCAGACTGAAAACACATCGTGTAGCCACGCTTAAGTTTGTGACCTTTCGTAAGAAGCTTTCTTCTACCTTGTTCAGTTCTAAAATGTGTTTTTAAATCTCCTGTTGTGGATCTTTAAATTGGCAACTGAAAAAGGTCCCCGGGAAGACTTTTGAGATGTCACAGAACCACAAGAGAGTGGACTTTGTCTGATTACGATTACTCTATGCCCCACACTGGCTGTGTTTGTCTATGATAATCAGGCGGATTCTCTGAAAGCAAACCACTGGGACAAAAATAATGAGACCCAAACTTAAAAAACTCAAGTTTTGTTTTTTGGGTGGCCTTGTTATGGTTTTGTTTGGTTTCAACTTGCAATGGTCTGGTCTTTTAGATCAATGCCCAATTTAGATTTCTCATCTGGACTTACCACAGGGACCAATGGTGACCGGTTCCTCCATCCTTTCCTCCAGGTCCGTGGGTATGGACATTGGGATGAGTAAGATCACACCAAGGCTGGTACCAACCCACAGACATGGAGTTGGCAAAGTGTCGCTCTTTCGCCCGAACGACTCTCCAAACTGCAGTGTGGTGATTGCCTCTTTGGTGTCGCGATCAATGCTGGAGACACTGGAGCTACGTGAGCGGCTGAAGGAGTTTTCGCGACTCTCTGCATCGACGGCAGCCATCAAAGAGACAAAAATAACAAAGACACGATGCAAGAGGGGAGAGGTACAAGATGATTAAAATGAGGGAAATGTAGTGAGAGAATGGCAGAGTAAATGGATGGAATAAAGACAGCAATAAACATAAAGAGAAGAACAATACGGTTGCCATAAAAAATACAAAGACAGGTAATT